GAATAGCCTGAGTGACAGATAGTACTGTGTGATGTTTACAAAGAGATTTAATTATTCCATGAATTGTAAATACAAGCCCATTGTGAGTCTAGGTCAAAGTGTTTAAAATTGTCAAATGATTAAAACAGTTGTATGTTTTTAATCCACACCTCTGTGGGCGGAAGTCTACAGTTTTTTTTTTCGCAAGAGAAACTCAGTTGCGACAGTGGGAAAAGGAAGCATGTATGGCGGTGAGCTTGACGTCACTGTTGTCTTACAAAGGTGTGGACACATGTTTGATGTTGTCATAGAGTTGCAGTAAATCTGCTCATGACAGGAACTCAGCTATTTCCGGTTGTGGCTTGTTACGGAGATGACAAACATGATGCCACACCTATAATTTCTAAATCAGGTCTATAGAGATATATCTTTATTTTTAACTATTCTGTGGCTAAACAAACCATGATTTGCTTATGAAAAATCTCTCTAAAACATTAGAGCCCTGCCCACCTTGAGGTACTGTTGTAGCATAGATAACTTGAGTTTCTTGATGCTTTCTGAGTCATAGGGATCTAGCATGATCTTCTTGCGCACCACATCTCGTGTGAAGATCCCAACACTGTTTTGACTCTCGGCTCCCACAGGCTTTCCATTCTGGAAGAACTCCTGAGTCAGCTCATACACCTGCACAAAGGAGGTTGTTCAACATGGTTAAAAGATAAATCGTATATCCTTACCACAAACAAGAGTTTAATTGCGTTAGTTACTGAGGTAGAGGGAGAAAGGCTCACTCTGAGAACAGCAGCTCAGGATGAGGTAACAACCACAAAACAAATGACTTTTACTCTGGCAGCTGTGAGCTTGAAGTGAAAAATGCTTTCTCTGGCAAAAAATAAATAAATACTCCTTTATTTTATACTTTGCAGTTTCAGCAGAAAGTAGCAAATTAACAATTATGAGCAAGTATAGTTAACGAACAAAATGTTGAGCGGGTATATTAAGCTACTGTAAAACAACTGCTGAGATTTTCAGGTAGAGTGAGTCCATTAATGAACAGAGCCCACACAACAGAATTTCCAAGTGGGAATACAAATGGCATTGGCCCTGTTTCCTCCTGGCATTAAGATGTGTTTTTTTAAGGAAACCACACATGGAGGTAGTCAAAAACGCATTTGACCACATCCTATTTGTAGTGGAAACGCTATCTGTAAGGGATCCTGACTGCAGTGAAGCTTCACCTGCTCTTCATGTTAGCTGCCTAATACAAATGGAAACAGAAATGCATCTCGGCTGACCATTCATGATTGGATCACCAAAAGCACTTTATAATACCAAGTGAAAACACGGCCGTACTGCATTAATTTATTCACGCCTTATAATCCACAAGAGGCTACACCAAAAGGTTCTTGCACAAAACCAGACACTCAGCTTTCTTCCATCACCTCATTGTACAGGTCACTGAACTCCTCCACCAGATCCTTTGGGATCCGCTTGCCGTTGTTGGTCTGGTAGTGGGCCACACCATTCTTGGCATAGAGGCTAATGCGGCCAACACTCCTCTCCTCCTCTGTGGTGTGCTCCAGCAGCCCATTGTCCTCAGCCAGGTGGTAGACGGGGTTCCCATTTGCCCCATGGATCCAGGTTGCTCCAAGTTCCAAAGTGGTTTTACCTGTAGAAAAAGGGAGATGAGGCACCTTGAAAAGGCACGTTTTTTTGAAGGTTAAGGATGAAGTAATAAAAAAGATGTTATCATGAGAAGACAGTTGTCTTACCGTGCTGAATGCTTTGCACTCTGCCTCCGATACGGCCTGAGGCTTCTAGCACCGTGACATTGGTGAAGCCGTTCTCCAAAAGGGTTTTGGTGGCGGCAAGGCCGGCCAAGCCCGCACCAATTACTACTATTCGCGGTTGTCGATGTCTGTGTAAGGCACTACTAAGAGGATCATCAGTGCTGTCTGAAGATATTTCACAACTTTGCATGCCGTCCAAACTCTTCTTCTAGGGAATCTGGGGAAGGGTGAGATGGGGAGAAGCTATTAGAGTAAACACCAAGCCCTCCAGCAAGACAGATAATAGAGATTATTCACAGAAAGGAAGAAAAGAACACATCAAAGATACAGAACATTTTATACTTTACATCTTTCACCATGTGGTTTGTAGGAATGACTGCAACACAGTCCCTTTTCAAGCCATAACCTTAAATAACACCAATATCAAAATAAGGTTTCTTATCTCCAACCTCATGTTGAAAGTGTTTATATCACCACTGCAGTGCTGAACAAGAATGAAGACAAAGCTAAAAGGCTGGTGAAGCATGAATGTGTGTCCTCAGATGGATGAAGACTTAAAATAAGAATACGCATTGGACAGGGCAACAGACTCGCAAGAACATACTATAGAACAGGGGTCCTCAACTCTGGACCTCGAGATCCACTTTCCTGCAGAGTTTAGCTCCTCCAACCCTAATCAAACATACCTGAACAAGCTAATCAAGATCTTTAGGATTACTACAAAGTTGCAGGTGTGTGTTTAATCCGTGTGTGTGTGTGTGTGTGTGTGTGCGCGCGTGTGTGTGTGAGAGAGAGAGAGAGAGAGAGACAGGGTCACATCACAGTGGAGTCAACTGTCTTAATCGCGGCTTGTGCACTGCAAACACATACCAGCTTCATCACTGTGTCTGTCATGCGACTCTGTTTCCCTTTCGGGCTTGAACTGATGGTAAAACTAATGCCATTATTTACTGTCTTTACATTTATTTTGAAAGATGAAGCTCGCGATTATGGTAAGGGGCGTTACATTTCCGACGCGTGCTTGCGGTGTTCGGCCAATCACAATGCACTGGGTCAGTTGGCCAATCAGAACAGACTGCGCTTGTCGGAAGGAGGGACTTTGTAGAAAACGAAGCGTTTGAGAGAGGCGGGGCATAGAGGACCTACAATAATGTACAGTATTGAACAATAAAGCATGTCAACATATTCTGTTACACCAAATACACAAAATAATGATCTTTAAAATAGCATCATATGACCCCTTTAAAAATCTTAATTTTCAAGGTCAACACTGTCCTCTTGTGGTCAATCAGAATTGCCTTAATTTGAGACTTACCACTGTTTTTAAAATAGAGCATAGCCCTAGGCTAAGAGTCTGCAATTGTATAGTCGTAGAGAGCCAAAACAATAAATAAATAAATTAATAAAATCTGTAGTTGCACTAGACTATCCATTGAAAAGTACTATATTAAAAAAGGTTAGTTACCTAAATAAGTTAGTTAGAAGCCTGGTAGATTAGTTAAATCAATGTATTTCAAAGATATGTACTTTTGTAAAAGAAGAATTTACCAAAAAAAAACAATAAGCAAAAACAGAATTGGAAAGAAATAAAACACATTTTTCTTCACATTAACATACACTTTATTCATATCAAGTATTTTTTGTTTAATTTTTAAAGACAACATTAAATACAGAAGGCACTTACAAAAATTGTTAAATTATAGAAACATATTAACATGGATTAAAAATAATAAGAAAAAAATTATAAGGACCAGAGATAGCACCACATGGCAGCCTTGTACAGTGCATCTCAAGTAAAATCTACAGAGCGCTAATCTAAGTGCAGTATAAAGAGGATTTATTGTTATTAGTTTAATGCCCCTACTAGGTTTCCTTACATAATTTCATCATTTGAAATACAGATAGCACATAATACAATTGTTTTTGTCACTAGTACGTGGTTCTTGTTTTTGTTGCGGTTTATTTTAAATGTTAGGCTTTGTGGTTTCTGCACGGAAGGAGTACTGGTACAGCTCGATCAAGCGATTTGCCTCCCTCTGCCCTGACAACAAAGCACCATGGGTAGTGGAATAGTATTTTCTATGGGTGGCCTCCCCAGCAAACAATACCTGTAGAGGCTTCGGATAGAAGAAAAGAAAAGAACAACAAAAAGTTAGCTTGACCAAACATATGCGCTCCCACATTACTGCCCTGGGGCCCAGTAAGCTATTTTAAGCATGAGTCTCTATCTTTCTGCTATAGAAAAGTGATTTAACAGTCTCAAGCCTCTTGTTCTTTTTGTGCAGTGTGCTCTGAGGGGTCAGACTGTTCCTTTCAGACCCCTAATTGCCCAGAGCATGTGTGTGTGTGTGTGTGTGTGTGTGTGTGTGTGTGTGTGTGTGTATTTGTCTGGCCCTTATACAACTCAACCTTCTCATTTGACTCAAATTTCAGTCTCAGTGCTGCACAGCTCAACATGACCCATTTAAAAAAAATTGTGCAAGCAAGCCTCCAGTCTGACTTTAGAGCAGTCATGGGAAATTTGAACAATGACACGAGGTGAAAAAGCCATGTAAGTGGTTCTAAACAGGATTCAAAGGTATTTGATTAAAATAATCGGAAACAAGTAAAATGCCGTGGAAGGACACCTGCTGTTTTTGGCTTAATTGGCAGATAAGTTAATGGAAAACAAAAATCATAATTTGCCCACTATTCACTTATTTGCCCACTACATGAACATGCACCTATAAAGAGCAGTGATACTCAAATATACTTTGCTGTTCCAAAAAGATACTGCATAAATTCTGATGCCTAAATTATGTTAAGCGCAAATGCCAATTATTTTGCAAATTTTGCTATAAAATTTCAACTTACTGGAGCCTTAGTGTTCTTGATATAAGGCAGGGGCTCAGCTAGCTTCTCCACATCTCTGCCGCTGGAGCCCACTCGAGTGAAGGAGTAAGAACCCCGGATATAGGGATTACTGCCCCACGAGGAGCGCAGGATCCGCCTTGGTTTTGGAATATTCTGGTTCCCTGTTAGAAACATCAAACATGAAAATAAATTGACTATTTGCCAAACGCTACTAATTGATAAAAAAAAAAGATTTACATTTATCTTAAATTGTATTGTTGCTACAATTTGAAACCCAGCTAATCAAGAGAATACACAAATACACAAATCCTTCTTTCTTTAAGTGTAATTTGAAGTGTTGTTCTTTTACGTTGATTTATGTTTGTTTTGGTGGTGTGAGTTAAGTGGACACGTGTTGGACAAGGGAAGTTAATCTTAAGTCTACTGTCAAATAATGACAGAAATTAGGGTACCTTTCAATTATCAGCAGCAAGGTGTGACCAAATCCAATTTCAGCACACTAATTACTGTATATAGGACTGGGGCAGATGGGAGGGGAACCTGCTGTGGATCTGGATTAAAACAGACTGACCTAGTTAAGAGGCATGCCAGTCTGTTGACATCAACTACAGAGAATGTGCGCATTGACCCTTATATCTGACTTGTGTTCTGTCATGAAAGGGTTACAGTGGAAGAGAAACCAGAGTTGTTTACAGTACAATCTTTTGCACAACCCTGGAAACTTTAGAGTTATTGTCAGTACGTTTACACTAGAAGCCTGACCGGGTCAGAGGGCCTTGTGCTTCCCTGACTTAACAGGTATATACGCCTTCTTGTCACAGAGAAATATAATTTAAAAGCATGACAAGCAGACAGCATTAATATAACCAGTTAAATGTATATGTGACAAAACAAACTCCTTGTTTGGCTGACAAACCTGATTGCATTCGATTCCTGAACCCCTACACAAATCTCCTGTCAGTTGGAAATGATCTACCTTGATTGATGTGTAAATGCAGCTCTCTAAGGCCCTGTTTAAACTTGGTATTAAGATGCGTTTTGGTCGATCGAATCACAAGTGGACAACGTTAAATACAGGTGTAAACAGGGTGTGAAACGTTTTGAGCTCGTCCACTTCCAGAGGTAGTCAAAAACCCATTCGACCGGATTGCTTTCGTGATGTAGATGCTGATGTGGTCGAATGCGTTCGAGCAGCCACAAAAGACCGCCTACTCTCCGCCTACTGACCTAATACACGTGTAAACATTGCGAGACGTACAAGGACGTGCGCTTATCAGATGGGATTTAAACTTTGACGGGCCAAATCAGAAGTATTATTTTCTGATAACACGAAAAGAAACAACAGCAGTAAGTACAAGCAGACGTAACATTAGTGCGCGATAACTTTAGCCCTCCCAAAATGGGGGATTATATGAATCAGGGAATGGTACTGAGAAGCAAAAATCATTATGCAGATGACGCATTAACCATGCTCTTTCTGCTAATGACAAACACCAAAAACTGTAAACAATACTCTGAATACTCAATACTCTTAGTGGCAGTGGGAAATGAACTCCAATTCAATGACATGCAGTACTACTGAGAATTAAGAGAGGTGTAATTTTTTGTTTTGTCACACCCTGATAATAGTGCAGTTTAAACAGGATACAGTGTTACTCTTGGCGCATTGCTGACCTGTAAACTGACGCAGTAGTTCGGTGCATATCTCCGCTACAGTCTCGTCGTCACACCTTTCCATGCGCAGGGCCTCTTCTCCGCAGATCCAGCCACTCAGCATGTGGCCATAGCGTTCGGGTGGATACAGCACATCAAAGCTGCAGATCTTTCGGTACCACAGCTCTTCTGGGTATGCCTGGCTGTCCAGTTGCGCCTCGTCCTCCCACACAAACTGAATGCTGTTGCACTCGGGGCTCCAGAAGGGTTCTGCAAACTCCAGAAAGATCTTGTCGGTAGTACTAATGCCCAGTTTCTGGATGGCCTGTGCCTTGTCTAGTGGCAGTCCTGGGGAGAAGAGAGTCTCGTGAGCTTTCTTCAGGACCCCAAGAGAGGCCGTTACGATCACATGGTCTGCCAGCAGACACTCGCCGTCTTCACACTCCACACAGACCGGAGATGGGCTGGGTCGTTGGTCCTGGTTATGGTCAGCCTGGTCTACAATTTCCTCTGTATCATGGGAGCTGCAGTTCCAGTGGATACGGTGGACAGGCTTGCTGAGGTGGAGGACATGACTTGGGATGTCCTGAGCCAGGATCTCAACGACTTTAATGAAACCAGCGGGAATGACATGGTGAGCACCGGGAATCTCGGTCCACTCACCAAACTCACTTAGAGACACTTCATCCATGCTGGGGGAACTGCTTTCACAGCTCTCCACCTGAGGCACAAAAAAGATGTTAAGGAAAGAAGAAATTATGCATAAATCTACCAGCATCTTGCTGTTAAGGTGCTACTTGGCATTAAAACTGAAGTCTACGGAGTCCAGTGTTGCCAAGTCCGCCATAATTGGGCTACTTTAACACTGTTGCCGCAGGTTGTTTTTCATGTCTGCAGGTTTAAGCGAGCCCAATAACGTGATATTTAGCCCCTAAAATGTGAAATTTACCAGAGAATTTTGAATGCAGGTGCTGAGGGGGTTAAAATACTCTGTCATTTTTGGATGTGCTTTCTGTCGTCTCATACAGTCTCCGTGAATGGAGCGCGTCACAACAATGAACTGTCTCACAGACATAATAAATAAATCTACAGAAAGCTTGAAATGTCTAGCCTACTATTAAACAAACCAATTCAAATAAAAAACAAATCTTCTGTAGTTATGTAGTCCTTATGAAAATTTCTCTATTAAAGGCACATCCATTAGCCTACTGTGGAGATGGCGAGTCAGCGCTGGCATTCGGCAACTTCATCTTTGCAGCCGACACTGACTGAGAAAGCCCTAGTTTATTAATAAAAAATTAAAATGTCTTCTTTTTCCCCGATGCATTCATAATCATAACTAAATGCCTATATTAAAGGACGGTTTAGTAGGTTATTATACTAATCAATTTTACTAGAAAAATCTTTAGTCGGAGGCAGGTCTACTTGGCACAAGGAACCAATCCATTTTTTAAATAAATTGCTGACATTACAAAATGCGTGACTGCAAATCACGTCACATTGCATTGCAGTAGTTCCCTCTCAAGAACGGTCTCTCGACATGGACCTCTCTCGCAGTCTCTCGACTGCGGCACAGCCCCCAGCACAGAGTAGATCGTTGTCTGCTTCCAACCAGCCATCAAAGCTTGCACCAAAACTCCGTGGCAGAGGACACTGAAGGCGCGGCATGGCTTCAAGAAAGGCGGCTGCCCCAGGGGCACTCCTTTGTCGGAGCAAAAGCCTCGTTCCTGATGGGAGGGTATGGAGGAGTTCGCCTTCACTGGCGTTGTGCAATAAGATTTCAGGTAGGTTTAGGAAGGAAGGGAGTCCAAAGCGTCAGCTTCTGATGCCATGTCTTGTTCCCGTCTCTCAGGGAACCGAGGTTACTAAAGTAACTGGAGACGTTATGCATGTGTAATGAGTCAAATGTTTTTATTTTATTTTATTTTTTATGGGGGTGCTGGAACACCTGCTAGCCCCTCCCTAGCGCCGCCCATGATTTTACCCCCCGGAACGCAACTGGGCTAGTTATGAGTAGCAATTGGGTGGGTTTTGTTGTGAAACCCTGGCAACCCTGATTGAGTCTGATAAAGTGACCATGAATAGCCTTGCAAAGCTTCATTTACTGTTGTTTTCACACAGTAAATGCTTGAACTCTGCTAAACACACCATTTACTCTAAGGTTACAGTTCCAAACTATACTGCAGTAAACAAACACAGGCAGCCTAGCAGACATATATCCAGCTGAGTGCTTTTTCTGGTCCTGCCTCTTCCTCCCATAACCTCTAGCATTACAGGATGACATTCAATGTCTGTCCTACTTTTACCTCAGTAATCCAGAGCTTTCATTACTATCAGCATTTCTGTGAATAGCCTGAGTGACAGATAGTACTGTGTGATGTTTACAAAGAGATTTAATTATTCCATGAATTGTAAATACAAGCCCATTGTGAGTCTAGGTCAAAGTGTTTAAAATTGTCAAATGATTAAAACAGTTGTATGTTTTTAATCCACACCTCTGTGGGCGGAAGTCTACAGTTTTTTTTTTCGCAAGAGAAACTCAGTTGCGACAGTGGGAAAAGGAAGCATGTATGGCGGTGAGCTTGACGTCACTGTTGTCTTACAAAGGTGTGGACACATGTTTGATGTTGTCATAGAGTTGCAGTAAATCTGCTCATGACAGGAACTCAGCTATTTCCGGTTGTGGCTTGTTACGGAGATGACAAACATGATGCCACACCTATAATTTCTAAATCAGGTCTATAGAGATATATCTTTATTTTTAACTATTCTGTGGCTAAACAAACCATGATTTGCTTATGAAAAATCTCTCTAAAACATTAGAGCCCTGCCCACCTTGAGGTACTGTTGTAGCATAGATAACTTGAGTTTCTTGATGCTTTCTGAGTCATAGGGATCTAGCATGATCTTCTTGCGCACCACATCTCGTGTGAAGATCCCAACACTGTTTTGACTCTCGGCTCCCACAGGCTTTCCATTCTGGAAGAACTCCTGAGTCAGCTCATACACCTGCACAAAGGAGGTTGTTCAACATGGTTAAAAGATAAATCGTATATCCTTACCACAAACAAGAGTTTAATTGCGTTAGTTACTGAGGTAGAGGGAGAAAGGCTCACTCTGAGAACAGCAGCTCAGGATGAGGTAACAACCACAAAACAAATGACTTTTACTCTGGCAGCTGTGAGCTTGAAGTGAAAAATGCTTTCTCTGGCAAAAAATAAATAAATACTCCTTTATTTTATACTTTGCAGTTTCAGCAGAAAGTAGCAAATTAACAATTATGAGCAAGTATAGTTAACGAACAAAATGTTGAGCGGGTATATTAAGCTACTGTAAAACAACTGCTGAGATTTTCAGGTAGAGTGAGTCCATTAATGAACAGAGCCCACACAACAGAATTTCCAAGTGGGAATACAAATGGCATTGGCCCTGTTTCCTCCTGGCATTAAGATGTGTTTTTTTAAGGAAACCACACATGGAGGTAGTCAAAAACGCATTTGACCACATCCTATTTGTAGTGGAAACGCTATCTGTAAGGGATCCTGACTGCAGTGAAGCTTCACCTGCTCTTCATGTTAGCTGCCTAATACAAATGGAAACAGAAATGCATCTCGGCTGACCATTCATGATTGGATCACCAAAAGCACTTTATAATACCAAGTGAAAACACGGCCGTACTGCATTAATTTATTCACGCCTTATAATCCACAAGAGGCTACACCAAAAGGTTCTTGCACAAAACCAGACACTCAGCTTTCTTCCATCACCTCATTGTACAGGTCACTGAACTCCTCCACCAGATCCTTTGGGATCCGCTTGCCGTTGTTGGTCTGGTAGTGGGCCACACCATTCTTGGCATAGAGGCTAATGCGGCCAACACTCCTCTCCTCCTCTGTGGTGTGCTCCAGCAGCCCATTGTCCTCAGCCAGGTGGTAGATGGGGTTCCCATTTGCCCCATGGATCCAGGTTGCTCCAAGTTCCAAAGTGGTTTTACCTGTAGAAAAAGGGAGATGAGGCACCTTGAAAAGGCACGTTTTTTTGAAGGTTAAGGATGAAGTAATAAAAAAGATGTTATCATGAGAAGACAGTTGTCTTACCGTGCTGAATGCTTTGCACTCTGCCTCCGATACGGCCTGAGGCTTCTAGCACCGTGACATTGGTGAAGCCGTTCTCCAAAAGGGTTTTGGTGGCGGCAAGGCCGGCCAAGCCCGCACCAATTACTACTATTCGCGGTTGTCGATGTCTGTGTAAGGCACTACTAAGAGGATCATCAGTGCTGTCTGAAGATATTTCACAACTTTGCATGCCGTCCAAACTCTTCTTCTAGGGAATCTGGGGAAGGGTGAGATGGGGAGAAGCTATTAGAGTAAACACCAAGCCCTCCAGCAAGACAGATAATAGAGATTATTCACAGAAAGGAAGAAAAGAACACATCAAAGATACAGAACATTTTATACTTTACATCTTTCACCATGTGGTTTGTAGGAATGACTGCAACACAGTCCCTTTTCAAGCCATAACCTTAAATAACACCAATATCAAAATAAGGTTTCTTATCTCCAACCTCATGTTGAAAGTGTTTATATCACCACTGCAGTGCTGAACAAGAATAAAGAGAAAGCAAAAAGGCCGGTGAAGTGTGAATTTGTGTCCTCAGATGGGTAAAGTCTTAAAATGAGAATCAGCGTGGAACAGGGCAACACACTTGCAACAACATAATGGAGAATGTAAAATGTCATCATATAGAGTCCATTACACTAGCGAATGGAAAAGGTCTGTATGTGGTTGTGAAAATAATTGCACCGTGATAGCCATTCATAAAATGAATGTGCTCTTCACATTTCCATTGAGCCTTTTCAGGCAAGGTCTTCACATAAACACACAAGCTTATGTGTGTGACAGCCACAAGGAAAAGATGCACCTGATGTTGGTCAGACCTTGTAAAAGAAGTTTATCAAGGACCTGAACGGGGAATATTGTTATGGTTACAGAATGTTATTATGGTGGACTAAACAGAATTTTTCTTTCATCAAAGTGAAAGGACAATGTTCTCTTCCTTATGCACACACTCCGTATCTGTCAACATTGTTATTGAACCCCGTAGGCATAGCCACACACGTGCAATGAGGAAGAGATGGACAACTGTGAATGAATATGATTTAAATGAATGAGGTTGTGGCTACTTTGCTCTCAGTACAAACCACAATAACCTCCTGTTGGGAGTTTGCACAGGCCAAATTCATTAACACAGTTTGTTATCAGACTGTGGAGAGGACAGGGAGGGCTGCCTGTGGCTTCTCTGATGCACAGTGACAATCAGAATATTTATTATAAATACTAAAAGGAGCTAGCTTGGTGGCTGCATTGTATCTGTTAAGGCATGAATGGGTTGTTTCCTTCTTGAGAATTCTCAGCATGTGACTTCAACTGAATTTAGCCACACATCAGCAGATTTTAAATATGGCTGAACGAAAAACTTTAGATAGTTTGTTACATTTGTTAAATTGATTTCCTGAACACCATTTTCCAAAGATAATTGATTCACCATGCAAAAACAACCAGTGTCAAGGCAAAATAACAAAACATGAAACCTTATCCTATAGCTATAAGTTATAACATGAAGTAATATGTATGTAATAAGGATTAGGTAAATGCATAATATTTTGTTACACTGAACTGCTGGAAGCATGAAGCATACTAGAAATCTCTATATGTGGCCTACAGCTAGAAAAATAACCCAACTATAGACGAGCTTTGCAGCTGAATATCCAAAATTACAGTGAACACTGCTTTTCCAGATTCTGAAAAAGATAACATTAATGCTTTAAGAAGTTAGACCAATTTTGTAATTTTTTGTCAATCTTGTCGCTTCGATTAGTGCCAACAGTGATAGTATGAGAAGTGTCTGATTCTTGGATTAATGCTTGTCTACTGAATGGGTCCCTTTAGCAAACTTAAGCTTGTGAATGTGGGTTGTCTCATTGATCTGCATTGACCTCCTGTTGAACTGAGAGAAGCAGTTTATCAGTGACTCACGACCAGAAACTCCTATGGCAAGGACGCTCTACAGTGAGGTGGAGAGGTTCTTTGATGGGGTCCTGAAATGGAAAGGCCTGGATAAACTCAACTGCAACTACAGGTCCTAACTCCACCGTTCAATCTCATGCAGTTTGAGGTGAACCAGAGTGTATGTGCAGTGTTTAACAGACCCACATCTCTGATATAACCAGTGCTCTTCTGGAACACACCAGAAGTTGCTGAAGGCATTACAAACAGCTGTACCAAATAAAACATAACTGCAGACATTTGCCTTTTTTCAACACAGTGGTTATGGTTGAGAGGGTTTGTGTACGAAACTTTGTTTGCATGAAAAAGTCCTTGCCTTGTGGTACATCTGGTTTCAAGGCAGAAGCAGAAGGTCATATCTTGTGACGTTAGGATGAAGCCAGAAAGGAAAATAAGATTTAGTGTGTGTATAAGGCATGGTTTCCATTGTTCCAATCCATCGATCCTACATTAGATGACCCATATAAGGCTGTCTTTCCAAAAAAAAAATTTTTAACAAACACTTAGGGTGTTATAAAAAAAATAAAATA